ACAGCTTATTATTATTCCATATATTTATTATTTTATTATTATTATTTGTATGTCTTTACCAATCACGGGACCACAGGGTCCCGGTCATTTGGAAGGCGTACGAGGGGCCGGAGCCAACTGCGCAGAGGCCCTTTAGACAACTTTAATCTAAATGAAATGGGACACTAACCGGCGACTATCCCTGTATGCACTATGGAAATGCACCCAAGGACAGTCTCCGGTTAGTGTAGGACTATTGCGGATAATGGAAACAAGGGATAAGACTATGGGTGTGGGTTGTTATGGACTGGTATTATGGGAACTATGGAAGGACTATGGCACCTGCCGAAACAATGTAATAAATACACGTAAAAATGGCAGGTGGAGACTCGCCAACTCACCGACCGGGCCCCCGGGAATGGTTGCTAGTAATAGCAACAGAGGGACAACGGAAATGTGAGTGGCTGAAGGGTGAAGAAACTGCCACCAGCTTTCTACTCAGATCATCTGCATCTGCCTAAGCATCCTGCATCACTGGCCCACTCGCCGCTTACGAACAGCTTCCACCCTCCGAGCAGGATCACTACTCTCGCGACTCCACTCTGGACGGCCAATGAAGGCAAGCCAGAGGTGGGAGACCTGTTCCTCGTCATCGTCCACTTCGGCCAGCCAATGAAGGCAAGCCGGAGATGAGGAACGGTGACTTCTCCCTGGAGCAATCGGGATGATGGTAGCCCACGGGATCGCTAATTCCCGTCACCTCGCCTCAAGGTGCCCTGCGGGCTTATTATTATTATTATTAACGGATAATTTCTTCGTTAGGAATTTATTGTCAGTGTAGTGTTATATTTGATAGACGTGACGTACCTACTGAATGATTATAATTTTAGATATGTTGATTCTAAGCTATGTTTACCACTGCATATTTTTAAAACAAAGTCGCTTTCTATGTCAAATCCTTAGATCTCTAAGTATTCTTAAATCTTTAAAACTATTCAACGGATTTTGTAATTGAGTGTTTTAATAGATATTGATTAAAAATAAAGATTATCTACATTTATTGAATATAGAAGGATTTAGTAAAGTAAAAGGTCGGTTTGCTAAATGGCCAATACCCCACAGAACAGGAAAAGCAGTTTACTCTTCTGTGAAAATAAAAAAACATCATAAAGTATTAGACGTATATAACTTTATACAACTTTATACTGATATTAACGAGACTGTTGTCTTACAATTTCGTTTAATATGAAAAAAAAACAAACTTGGCAACATTCCAATTCCCTTGCTATTACAAACAAAAATCGGTATCCCGAACAATACCATACCAGCTATTTCAACCCCAAATCCCTTGAACGGCAAACGGCACAAGCACTTAAGATCACTCGACCAGCGAAACAGTTTTTGTCCCGCTCTAGTAAATATATAAGTACGCATAGTTATGTCATTGAACCTTACTTTTTATATAAGGCATTAGTATCGGAGTCAGCCGGTTCGATTCTGGTTACATCACCGACATCACGTTTGATAGCCTCATCAATCACATACATAAGTAAAGCCAATGATTATGTCTGTATGTCTGTTGCAGGTTATCTGTGAAACTGATGGAATGATTGCGATGAGATGTAAATTAGATTAGCTATAAGTTTGCAAGGTCTACTCTTAAATCTTTTCTTTTCTCTTTTTTTCCATATAATTAAGATGATAATCTCTAATTGCTGATAAGAAAGCACTATTCAAAAGCGACAAATTAAAAATATGGGAAACAAAATTAAATAGATGACATTGCATTTAAAATATAGTATTATATTTTATAGTAGCTACTCTCGCGCGGTTTCACCCGCTGCTCGGCTCCATTTGATCGTAGTGTGATGTTTTATAGCCTATAGCACTCAGGATCATTGTAGCTATCTATCAGTGAAAGAATTTTGGCAATCCGACCAGCGGTTCCAAAGATTACCCCCTACATACAAACTTACAAACATACAAACTTACAAATTTTACCTCTTTAGTATAGATTAGAAATGTTAAATTTACGGCGAAAAACTACCTATATAAAAATAAGTAACTATATAAAAAGAAAATCAATGAAAATGCGACTAAAACCGCGTCAAACTCATAGTTTTTCTTTTATATTCGTGTTTTGTGATTGTGACCAAATTCTAAACACGCGATACTCGCAAGTAGGTACCTAATGTAATACCTACTAACGCAAAGTAATTTTATAATTTTAGCTTCAAATCACTACTCATTTGTAGTTTGTAGTATTTTTTGTCACTGCCAACATTAATTTAGAATTCGTGGCTACGGCTCGGGCTACGTGACCCGCCATTTTCAATTTCTTGTCAAAAAAACTTTGCGTTTAAAAAAAGAATTTTAGCTATTCGTGGTTTTTACGTGAGTGCTTCGTACAACTTCATTTTTTTATTATATAAAAGTTTTAGGCCAGTTTTAGCCTTTATTATTAAGTTTGGGATATTGAAAGCGTTAAGGTATAGGCACCGACATTTTCAGTTACCTACTAAAAAGCTTCCTCTCATACTGAAATATCAATAAAATTGAAGGTCTAAGCTTGTATTAAAGAGTATTTGGATATTGGTCCCGTAGAAAAAGTTGTTGTAATTGAGCACCAGACTCGATCCCTTCAATACCTATGTCCCTCGTTTTACCTAACAATATATATATAATATTTACATAATAACTAATCAATTACATAACTAAGTACTTAAAGCTCAGAACTCCGACATTAAAACACTTGCCCTGTTCAGATATCCAAAAAGACCTTGTGCTCGATATTATTGACATTCCCATTATGAAAGGACAAAAAAGATTGTCCGTAAGTACCTATAATCTGTATTTTTTTTACTTTTGAACTTTGCACAATCCTTGCCAGTGTAGACCTTTACATATGAGTGTTGCCATAATCTCCCCATGTTCGGCACGCTGAAGATTGCAGTTTAAAATCCATATTTTGTATGTAAACTAAGCTTCACTTAAAAATGTTTTTCCAATCAGATATTTACCTAAATCAAATACCACGGGAATTACCACGATTGAATTATAAAAAGACATACCAATATTGTTTACCTTTAGTTAACTACCGATAGACCATAGTACTGATTCATCAAAGGGTGATTCTGCTATTTTTAATTCAATTAATTTTACTTCAGATAAGGTTTCAAGTGTGGGAGCCATGCTTCGGCACGAATGGGCCGGCTTGACCAGGATGATATCACGGCCTCACAGAAAACCGACGTAAAACAACCACGGCGTTGTTTTTCGCTGTGTGAGTGAGGTTACCGGAGGCCCAATACTTCTTCCCCTTCCCAATCCCTAAATCTCCGAAACCCTTATCCGCAAAAGGCCGGCAACGCACTCGGAACTCCTCTAGTGTTGCCATGTTGTCCATGGTCGGCACCGATTGCTTACCATCAGGTAAGTAATATGTATGTTCGTTTCCCGTAAAATCTCATAAAACAAAAGATAATTTACATTTTGTTTTTAAACCGCTTTGTTAAAATTAGCCTTGAAATAGCTGTTACGTCTGCCCAGTCAGTAGCTTCTCTATAGACAGTGTATCAATAAACAAAAAACAATGTCTATAAATAATTATAAGTACATTTACACATATTAGTTTTCCTCTTGCCGTTTCAGTCGACTAAAAGTTATCAAATGTTGATACAATAATTTTTGGCTGACAATAACTACCGTTCTAAATTCAAAATCTATAAATTACAAACGATTTTTAGCAGATACTCCTAATGTAAAAAGTTGATAATGGTGATCGATTTTTAATTTCTTCCGAAAATGAAACGATATTTTATTACAAATCCGAAGAGTTTGTTTAAACACGCCAATCTCAGAAACGACTGGTTCAAAATGAAAAAATATTTTTAAGCTACGATCGAAAGCCGAACAGCTGGCGAAACCGCCAAAAAAAACTAGTCAGCTACTGATTAAGACAAAACAATGTAATGTGGTTGTTTGCAATATGGATATTATGCGAATTCAGTTTTCTGAGAAAGCCACTAAGGCTTAAAGATATGCATTACCAGTTCATCCTTATAAGGAAATATGTCAAATACCAATAGACCAAACCAATTATAAGAAAAATAGTAATAAGTAGTAGATACCTATGCACCTATAAAAACTGCCAAATGTATGCTATAAGCGCTTATCTTGAAATTGGTAGGTATTAAAGATTTTTTTTCAACATGACTTTCTGGTTAAGATTATTTATCAAACTTAACGATGTAAATAAAAATGTTGGTTGGTTTTAGCAATACAATGTTAAGAAGAAAAGTGCACACACATTAAAACTATTAAATATAATATCCAGATTCTCTGCTAGGTATAAAAATGAATCAAAAAATTAATTTGTTTGACCCGGGATTAAAAGGTTCGACAGCGCTTAGAGACGAGCACGCGGCACGGGGACAACGTCTAATAGGTAAGTATTATATAGTCTATGTAAGGTCACTAATGTTTAAGTAATAGGTAAATAATTATCTTCGTGTTTCAAACACTCTATGAGCAAAACGTGTAAATAACTTGACTTTTTGGAAATGTTTCTGATCCAATAAAAAATATAAATAATAAATATAAATAATATAAATATAAATATAAATATAAATAAAATAATATAAATAATAAATAATAAATATAAATTTTCGAATTTGACAGAGCTTTGTACTTAGTTAATTAAAATATAAAATTAAGTTTAAACATTATAAAATATTTGTTGTTTTGTGTTGCTATTAACTATTAAAAAATCTTTGTGTTGTATGAACAGTACTTATAATAATGTATGATGTAAAAATCAAACACATTAGACGTCCTACAATTACAAAAAAAAAAAAACAAAAAAAATAGTATTGATAAAGACTCTATGACAAACAGTCGAAATAAAAAAAACAGGACACAAAGTTAGGGATGGGAACATTACCAAATGACCCAGAGATTATCGAGGAATGTCAACTATCGATTAAATTAAAGAAAAGCAATGAATAAAACATTAATCTCACCTCATTTTAATTCCAATAACAATTCCATTATCATCGCACATAACAGCAATGTTTTCAGTCAAGCACAAAATTTGAATTTAAATTTTAAAATAAAATGAAACCACGACAACACTTAAACTTTGAACAGTCTAGTGACGTGACATTGTATTATTTGTCACGTTTTTGGTGAAAAAACATCAAAATAACACTGTGTCATACACTTTGCGAGGAAATCGATAAGAAAGCGCGCGTGAACGTCCCCATCCAAGCAATGCCGGTGCCGCACTGACAGACTCTACTAACATACAAACTTACAAAATGGCGTACTTATTTGAGTTTGCGCAATGTGTTGCTTGCTTTAACTTACCTATTGCGCAGCAAAAACATCTTAATCTAATTAAAAAATCCTATAATCTTATTAAGTAGAGTATTCTTAATACTTTAAATGGAAACTAGGGATCTTTTAGTCCCGTCAAATGGTTGTAGGGGTGCGTGAAAATCAATATTTACATAATTCGTCTTTGTTAGGTATGTTGCGGTATTTTAGGGTCAATGACCCTAGTAGAAAAGATTGCGGCTAATTTCTTATTCTTGTAATGGTTATCGACATTTATTTAATGTTATTCCGCAGTTAATTAAGTTGAAATTGTTGATAATAACATAACTATAGTTTACGTAATCGGATAAAATAATGACGGTAGTTACTCATCAATGGTGGTAAAAAATTATGGTAGCTACATCGATCATGGATCATCATCGATGGGTAGCTATGACTTTTGGTATTGAAGAAGTCGTATAATTAGCTTACATTGATTTAGACATATTTACATACAATTTTTAGACAACATTTTGATAAAGGACATTCCAAGATTGTTTATATTTACTTAATTTCCTAAACCGAATAACTATAACATGTTTTTTTATGCAGTACTTAAGTAGGATCAGACTTAAATCGTGACAAAAGCTGCATTGAGAACATCAAGTAGAATTTTACTTCATGATTAAGAGTCACGGACGTTAATTCATACCTGTTAATATTGCACTAACAACAAATTGAGTCATTAGGTAGGTATGTAAAAAATGGTATTTATTTACGACAGTCTGCCTTCTTCAGTTTTTTCAGCGCGCGTTACTGCGATGTTAAAAAAAACAATTGTCGTTCCAGAGAGTAAAAATAGGCTTAATTCTGTGCAGCTGGAGTTGCAGTTGCAAGCAAAATGAGAACCACTCTCTGGCTCGAAGTAAGAGAAGACGGGATGGATTTTAGTCAGTAATAGTCTGATACTCCTTCGCACTTTACACAAGTGCGGGAAAATGAATTCAATGGTTGTCCTCCTTTAAAATAAAAGTCTTATTTTAAGGGAGTAGGTACTTAAAGATCCAAGTGAACCAGTATCAGCCGGAGTTGCGGGTTAAGCGCAATAAGTCACTGCGAGCTCAGCCCAGAGCAGGAGAAGGGACGGGGGGTTTTTAGTTAGTCAGTAATACCTAGTCACTCTGTCTCGCTGTACCCTGGGCGGGAAAAGTCATTAAAAAAGGGAACCAGCATGAGATACTCCACGCTTCGGCACGAATGGGTTGGCTCCACCGGATTGGTACCACGGCCTCAAAGAAAAACGGCGTGAAGCAACACTAACGTCGTGTTTCGCTGTGAGAGTGAAGTATCCTTTATCCTTAAATCTTTAACAAGCACAAGAGGGCCGGCAACGCACTTGGAGTAACCTTTGGTGTTACAAGTGTCCGTCTGTTCGTTTTGCAACCTATGACATAAAAAATCCACTTCTTATTTTTTTGCGAGAGTAATAAACTTCCATCACTTTTAAATTTTGTAATACTTATTACATATTAGAAAATAGGAGTTTAAATAAAACTTTAAGCACAGCTGCGTGGTATGGAGTTGATGGCAACTTATAATTTGCATACTTACAAGGACAACGGCATCCTCCTTTCAGAGTGACCTCATTCGGTCATTCAGAGCTTCAACTTGAACACAACGGGAGCTTTGTAAAGGATTGAAATTCGCTGCTGTCATTATGTTTCTTTATTTTCGACCCTAATGTTATTAAGACACGCTTAAGAACTTCCTTTATTTTTAACACGCGTGTATAAATTAAGTTGGTACAGAGATAGTTAACACGTTAAACGCCAGGGGGGTCACCGGTGACCTCCGTTAGCGGAGGATTTACCTTCATTCAAAAGTTTTCTGTCGGCAGTCAAGGGCTTAAATGTATTATTGTTTTGGTCATTTTTCTCGATCTTACGCGTAAAGGCGTATATGTAATAAATAGTAAGAATGTTTGTACAAAATTGTGTAGGTAGTAGCATTCAAAAAAAAATTGGCCTGGACAATACTAAATACATTTTTATGTTTTCTTTTCATGACACGTATAACCACTTTCTAGGAATCTTTTTACTTTTCTATATTAAATCTTATCTAATCGTTTTTCTTTGATTATGATAAACCACTTTGCAATCTTCAATCTGATAAAATCTAATATAATTAACGCCTTGAAAAAAACTGTGAGCAATATTGAATTTATCTGTTTGTCTCTGTTGCAAATGTAGGCACATTAAATTAGTGTTATAAAATCTAAAGCTTAGAGTTATTAGTAGATTAGTGTGTTAAATTATGCAAAAACAATCATGAATAAGATAAATTAGTATTTTAAAAAGTATTTTACTTATTATTTCTTACTATTTCTGGTAACAACGACATTGGTCAATGCTCACTTGATGGCTTAAAGGACTTGCATCCAGGCCATAAACTCCAATAAAAAAATACTCACTTGACGCTCTTGACAATTGTCGTACTTGTCGACTTGACATTCGCCCGTGAATTTTGGCGGTTAGAAAACATTTCATGTTTCGTGCAAATAAACAATTAAAATTAAGAAATCATGGCTGAGAAACTCGAGGATCTGAATCTCCCGATGACTGTTGTAACGAGGATAGTGAAGGAGGCACTACCAGAAGGTGTTTCAATATCAAAAGAGGCGCGAACCGGTCTCGCTAAAGCTGCGTCGGTTTTCGTGCTTTACGTGACTTCTGCAGCTACAAATATAGTAAAAAATAAGAAAAGGAAAGCTCTTACGGGTCAAGATGTGTTGGATGCTATGAGGGATATAGAATTCGATAGATTTGTAGAGCCGCTTGGTGAAGCATTAGAACAATATAAACAGATGGTGTCCGCGCGGAAATCCGGTGGTGGAAAGAAGAAGGAAGAAGGCGAGGAGGTGGAAATGATAGAGGACGACTAATGTGATATTTGGACTCAATAGGGTTAAGTGTATTTAAGTTAATTTGTTAATAAATCGTGTTTTAAACGAGCTCTTGTTTCTGTACTTAACCTAAAAGCGTTTAATTGAATGAGTTAGGGAATACAATACAACCAGATGTTTTAGAACTTTGAATGTGTAATTTTGCATCTGTTAGTCGATGTCTAGAGTCAATGGATTTCTCTGAAGTAGTAGTTAGCTATCAAGTTCACAAATTATGTAAGTATAGAAAAGGTTGAGTTTCATTTGTTTTTAAAATAATTGATTTGATAAAAGTCAGACCATCTATATACTTCCTAAAAATACTTGGTAAAAAAAATAAAATTATTAAAATACCTAAAACTTTTAATTCAGCATTGTAGGAGTTCGATGTAAAATTTTTTTTTAGTTTCAACACTATGGAGTCTGGTTTCAAAGCTTGGTAATACTAATTTAATAATTACACTATGCATTATTTTTTCGATAGAACAACTTATACACTATGGCTGTTTACTACTTCACTGAAAACAATATTGTTTAACCTATTAGGATGTATTAAAATCTATTTTTTCCAGTAAATAACTCCAAGCTTAATACTAATAAAATAAACACACAACAATTTTTGTTCATCACTTTATTCAGGAATAAAATTTGTTCAGAAACAATCTTGAAATAACATTGAACCGACATTTCATTACACCTCAGGGTACTACCTCTACCTATGGCATATTATGTACAATCTTTGCCGCCCATCCTACCTACCATCTGTTATAACGAAAATAAATATCCATATATATCTAATTTATCATTTCAAATGCTATTATAATCTAATTTATAATTTTCTCTGGTTATAATTCATTTTTTTTAAACTTTACTTTTATTAATACTATTAATTTTATTGGAGAAAAAATGGAAAGATCTTACATCCTAAATAAATTGTCATTAGTTTTGTACGAACTATTTTTATAGTAACTACAAGGAAGCAAAGCTAAATAACTAAATTATTTAATTTCGAAATGACCGCCATCTGCCAAAAGGAAGTAAGTATTCGATTTTGACAGATAAGCTTTTTTTAAGGAATGATCCCACTGCAGGTATTTTTAATAGTCAATTAATAAATACCTAAAGGAATAATTATTGCTTGGTTTTTCAATCTCTCTGTTAGAAGTTTAACATTCCCTGCACTGAGATCTAAAGACAGCTAGAGAAAAACCCAAATAAATACTAACCACATCTAGATTTTAGCAGAAACTAATATTTTATAATATTATGCAGCTCTAAGTTCCATAAACAGATTAAAAACGTAATATCCAAGAGCATTTAATGCTAATTTAAATGTCTAAAATTTTATAATTATTGTTTTAATAGACTTTTAATGCCAGACTTTGTTTAATAATAATAAGTAATATATTTATTTTGTTAAATTCTAAAGAGCAGGTAATTATTATCTTCAATATAATTAGGATTTATATGTTGGTTGCATTTACACTAATAAAAAAAAGTCACCAATTATCCTTGAGTTTCGATAAGTATTTGAATATTTTTATTGTAGGTATGCAGGAAAATATTTGCATCTTGTTAGAAGTTTTTGAATCTAGGTTTTGGTACCGATTGTATTTCGAATCTTTCCTGAAAAGTCAAGAAATTTCATATGAAACGCAACCAACAAATAAAAAAGCGTATTAACTTCAGTACTGGTGTTCTAGTTTTCCTTTTAATTCTAACGTATCGAAATATACCTACAATTACGTCTAAATACTAAACGGGACTATAAAATATGATCGATACTTTAATATGCTACCATTTTCATATTACAGCCGTTCTCAGTCCAACTGCCAAATGTTTTGGCATTCTCCGTATTATTAAACAATCATATTAATTAGTTTATTTAAAATTTTCATTATAGAAACAGCATCAACAAAAAAGGTTTTTTTTTATATAAAATGGCGCCAAAACTTTTCTAAATTCGACCTTTAAAAACAATTAATTATTCACTTTTTTTAGTGCAAACTTACAGGCTTTTTAG